AGTAGGGTTTATATTTTCAAATTAAGGCCCCAAATTTCAGCATCATCCGATTTCAGCATCATCCCCGACATATAATAAGACAATCGGCTATATATGTTATGCGTCATTTCTCAATTTATGTCAATTATTAATTGACGCATTCCATTTTTCAGTCGAAAATGATAATGTTTCAACAGATATTTGTATAAATTTCGATTAATAAAGAAATTATTACGACGTATTTAAACTTATACGTATATTCAAATCTATACATGTTTCGCATCATTTTTCAATTTAGTTCAATTATTAATTGCCATATTTCATTTTTAAATTAGAAAACGGCATAGGGCATTTTGTAGTCAATATAATTTTAAAAAAGTTATTATAACGATTTGATTAAACATACGCTTCACATGTGTATGTTCAACGAAGTATAATAAAAATTTTATATACATATGCAAAATATTTTAAATATAATTGCTTTAAAAAATAGAACACATCCATGTCATCTCGAGTATAGCAAATTTTTCGATAGCGGCTTAATTATAATTTGTAGTAATTTTCTTAAAAAACATTCTCATTCTATTATAGGTTATATGTTTTGAATATTTTATATGAATATTTTAGGTTAAAAGTGTTTTAAATATTATGAACTGAGTCTTTAATATTACGAACTTGACATGTAGTAGTTCATCTACCAGAATTTTTTGATCTATCTATCTATCTATCTATATATTTAATTTTGAGTTTGTGCGTTTTAACGGTTTTGATTGGACGTAGCTGAGAAGCGTGACCCGAGCGTGAGAATTCTGAGTTTGTGCGTTTTAACGTTTTGATTGGACGTGGCTAAGAAGCGTGACCCGAGCGTGAGAATTCTGAGTTTGTGCGTTTTAACGTTTTTGATTGGACGTTACCGAGAAGCATGACCCGAGAGTGAGAATTTTGAATTTGTGCGTTTTAACGTTTTTGATTGGACGTAGCTGAGAAGCGTGACCCGAGAGTGAGAATTCTGTGAATTTTAACGTTTTTGATTGGTCGTTACAAGTACAATATTCAGGTGATTTGATAAATTGGGTTATCGTTATCGCTATGCAATTATGACATACGTAATTGCTGGATTACTGTATTGGGTTATCATTATGTTATATGACATAATTACCGAATTATTACTATATTGGGTTATCACTATGCTATTATAACATAATTACTGAATTTTATGACTGTGAGAAATTTAAGCGAGAAGCTGTGTATTTTGACGTTTTTGATTGGTCGTTATAAGTTATAATATTCAGTTAATTTGATAAATCGGGTTATTGCTATACAATTATAACATAATTACCGAATTATTATAATTGAGAAATTTTTTTGAATAAGATGGGTGGCGCTTGCGCGCCACCCATCGCACTAGTATAATATCATAGACATCTCTTCAAACTCTGCTTATTTCTTATTGGTGACACAAAATTGTAATTTGTAAATCCATAAGTACTACGAAGAAAAAAAGTACATGACAGTAAAAGAACTATTTGTAGTATGTCATTGCAAATTCGTATTCATTTAATATGCGATTAATCAGTTTTATTATTGTATGCATTAAGAACGGATCTGAGTTATTTTTCAATTGGTTGAAATTAGATCTGCATTATGGCTGTTTCTAAATTCTGAAATACTTGAAAAATAACCAAAATGATAAGTTTTTGACATCAACCAAAGTCAGTAACCTATCGACTCGGTTACTGGAAAATATGAAAGCAGCTAAACACTGACTTTGCTGACAGAAATAAAATTAGTTTTTGCTAGATTCGGATGAATTTCAACAAAGTGTTTTGCAGATCAGGAGCAGATCAGTATCTGTATGATACTGATCCGGTAAATTTATATTGCTGTTAGAATTGGGAATTATAGCTGATCAGTATAGTATGGTTTTAATTTTGGTCTGTAACATACTGATCTGCTCACCCATACCATACTTAATATCATTTCGGCACGGAATACATTGATCGTAAAAAATTCATTCATTATGCGCACGAATATTACATAATGTCCGATTCTGTACAATAATCCAATGGCAGTTTGCCTATCGATCATATTTTATTCGAAATCTTTAAAATTTTTTATTGTCAGATACATTTTCCGTGATTCACATGATACTATGATCTGCAGATGTCTGCAAACTGCCATAATTTAGATCAAGCTTGTGCTGCACGTCACTTCTAGATTTTAAAATATATGGTCATGCTTTACTACCATTGGCAATCGATTTAAGCAGAGTTTCAATCCATCATCCGTTTATCCGGATAATTACTAGATATTCGTTATCCATTATCTAAAGTATCCGATATAAATTTATCCAGATATTCATTTATTATTGATATCCAATTATCCAAATACCTGTCAGATAATCCGGATATTAGATCTGCTTATCCTATTTGAATAATTCGGATAATTCAAATACGGATAAGTGGATGACAGATTATCCTGATTGGAACTCTAGATTTGAGTAACATTATTTATTAGCAGGCATCCAAGCTTGTTCTATAAAACCGAACTAGTAATAAAGTTGATTTTATTGAAAAAATAATACAGTAATTGCCTGACTTTTAGTTAGGGATAGATTTAGTTTGGTTCAGCAGGGATGCTATGCAGTCTATTCTAAACTGATAAACCGCAGTTAGTCTTAAAGCCGGTTTAAAACAGGAAAAAAAAATCCGCTTTCAGTTTTAAGACTAGTTAATTTTTAAAACTTCGAACTATTAAAAGTGGACTAAAGTGATCAGATTGGACCAGTCAGGACTGTTAGAATCCCTACGGTTTAATTTGCTCTGATCTCTGATAACGATTAAACCAATTCATTAATATTTTAATTCTAACCTTGGTTCGGTCTCACTTTCAAAACAATTTTTAGTTATATACAGTTATATCTCTCTAAACTAAAGCTGGTTAGCCGAATACTTAATAAACTTTGTGAAAGCAAAACACAAAACTTTAAAATATTTATAAATTTTATTAGTAAGTCATAGTGAACTTTTAAACTGAACCTTTTGAAAATTTTTACGGAGGATTTAGTATAAGCAGAGTTGATTGTATTTAAACTTCAATCATTTATTGTTTAGTAGAAAATTTAAACCAAAAAACGCTGGGTGGTCAATATCTAATAGGATTAAAATATGTCAAAACTCATTTATTTTTGTATATGGCAGATTTTTTATCAAAAAAATTCTGGCATAACTTTTATATCAAATAATTAATAAACGATTTTAAAATTCAATTTTAACAACTTAACAGTGAATGGATTCGTAGCTTTAATAGAAGGTTTATGATTTAGTAGAGGATAGATTTGTAATTTCAACAGCAAGTGATCTTTAATTTCAACAGTATGTAGATTTGTGATCTATTGTGGTTTGTAAAATATTAAACTTGTAGATTATACCAACATTATTATTGCCTGATTAGTGATTGTGAATACATAGATATGACAAGCAAAAAATTATGAAAATACTATATTATTTATTAAAAAATGCACTTCACAATTGCGTAACATGTGGAACATAATTTGCAATTATTAGGATCAGTCTGGAAAAGCTGCTATATTGCATAAAATCTCTGGCTTATTTATAAATTTATGTTCCTGGTGTCGCGCGACAGCATCGCGCAGCTAACTTACGAATTCTCTCCATGATAATGCATATCAGGATTTTAGAAAACCACGCTTACCATTTATCGTTATAGATTACAAATGCTTATTAATTATGACGATCTAATTAAATCATTATGGCTTTAACAAGAATCAGTGCTTACCTTAAATGGCAAGCAAATTATCGTTACGTACGTACGTACGTCCGTACGTACGTATCTCAATTAAATATGATTATAATAATCATACTAAATAAGCAAAAACATGATAACCATAACACTTTCTAAAATAGGAAAAAATATAGTGCACCAAATATTGAACGGAACCACCCCTCTCACATTTCATGTGATCGTACTGGTACAAACAGTAAAAATCGTCAAAAATTGGCAAACTTCGTAAAGCAGAAACTTTTTAAAAAGAACCTTCAAATACTAGAGAGTTTGTGAACTTATACCCAAAATTTAAGTCGACAGCCTTTTAATCATCAAATAAGCCTAGAAAGCAAAATTTGCCTAAATTTTACATATATAATTTAGATACGTCGATCATATATATTAAAATTTTACATGTGACATATCGGGTGTCTGGTACGGAATTTACTTATTGATGCCGGTAATACAAGAAAATTTAATTTTGAAATAAACAAAGTGAGTAAAAACACAAATTTATGGTTATGGCGTTAACATTAAAAACTATAGCCATAGATTGTTGCACATTATAGTTTTTGAGTATTTTCTCTTTCACGCGTGTTCGGATTCCATGTCGGGACGATCAAAATTTGAATACACTGAATGACTATTTCCCTTTTAGCGGGTCGGTTAAAGCGGAGCGAGGTATAGAGTTACCTTTTTGATGCATTTAAGGTTAGCGGGTTATATAGATATCAAGAATACAACATATGCAGTATGTAGATCATATATTGAATTCGCTCCGCTTTAACCGACCCCCCTTATAGGAGATTGTATTACCAGCACAGATAAGTGAAGCCGTCTGGTACGTACGTATGTACTCACGTACGTACGTACGTACTTATAATTTTGTGCGGTCTAATTGACTATTAAAATTATTTTAAATTGTATACTACTGAAGTACACTAAAACTTGTAAAAATAAAAATCTAAAAAAAAATTTTCTTAATGATTTTATTATTAATTTTATAAAAAAATTAAATGTAACTATATTATATAGTATTGATCAGATTTTTATATATAAAAATTATTTAAATTTATAATTTTTAAATTATTTTAACAAATGTACTACCAGTAATACAAAGAGTAAAATTATATCCATTAAGAAAAATAAAAATCTATTAGAAAACTTATATAAATTTATAGTGGTAGATTTAGTTTACTATATAACACATCTGCAACTGCATGACTACCATTTACATTTGGATGTTTATTTTTATAGTCGCACAAATAAGTGTAACTACACGCTGTTTCTTTTGTAATAATTTTTCTCATATCCACTACATTGAAACCATTCTCTCTGTAAACTTTAATCAAACTGTCACTGAGTTGATCAAGATTTGCGTGTGCATTATGATATGTAGTAGCCCAATATTGTACATCTTTACCTCCTGCTTTCTTCAACTTGGGAATTATCGTATTTTTTAAATTGTTCACTATTTTGTGAATCCTAATGTCACATTTGGAAGGACTAGTTTTAAGACAGCGTTCAACATCGTTCAATCCAATAGTAATTGTAACAAGTTTTATTAAACCCCTATTATGTTTCATAAATTTTGTAGCTTCGCCTAACTGTTCACTAATAAGTTTTCCAGTGTTATGACCGCCATGCGCAAATTTTTTGAGTACAATGTTTGGATTTGTCTCTTTGAGACGTTCATATAAAGCGTCTGCATAAGAATAACTATGAACTACCTTGTCACTAGGTTTAAAAACACCATGTGCAAACGAATCACCTAATACAAGGTAATATATTTTGGTATCATTTGAGTATATTTTAGTATCATGTGAGTATATTTTGGTATCATTTGAGTATATTTTGGTATCATTTGAGTATATTTTGGTATCATTTGAGTGTATTTTGGTATTATTTGAGTATGTTTTGGGATCATTTGAGTATATTTTGTTATCGTTTGATTGTGCATTTAATCCAAGGCGTAAAGTACGACATGCGTCATCATCATATAAACACAGCCATGGAATTTTAAAGAAAAAAAGATAATAAAATCCAAAAAGTATGCATAGTAGAAATAATAAAGTCTTTACTTTAAACATCTTTATGAAATAAAATTTTCAAAATATCTAAGATTAACAAACGATATATTATGATTATATTTCTTTTCCACAGTTAGCACTCAATTTATATTAAAATTTCCTTGTGTCAGAGAAATGAGAAATAAGTGACAACCCTCTAAAAAGATAAAGCGCTGCACTAATGTGATGAGCCATGAGAATTATAAGGAGTAATATTCAAGCAGAGTTAAAAATTGCAATTCATATTGCATTTATTTAATAATTAAAAAACGCAATATGGATGATCCGGGTGATCCGCATATTTATTGCACGGGTTTTATGTAACAACCCGTGCTTTTTTCATTTGGTTATTGCACGGAATTGTTACGTCGACACTGTGCAATAAGATAGTTATTGTATGGGCACGTACGTAGTGAATAACCCAGTTATACACGCGGGTGCATATTTAAATCCGTGGCCTTCGGCCACGGATATAAACCCGTGTGTAACTGGGTTATTCACTACGTACGTGCCCATACAATAACTATAATTTATTTGGCTCATCCGGATAGCCCATCTACTTATCTGTTATCCATATTTGTTAACAAAGTGCTTATCCGTTGTTACGTCAATTTGTACCATTAGTGTTATCAGTTAGCTGCGCGACGCTGTTTCGCGACACCAGGAACGCAAAATTATGAATTAGCTAGAGATTTTTTTTGCAGCTTTTCCAGACTGGACTTAATAATTGATTAGGAAAAATAGATTAAATGAATGTAAAATTTAATATCAGTCTATCGAGATTTCACGCAGATCATGTATGTAAATTTTTTTAATATGGATAAAATGATCGACGCACCAAATTTTGTGTGGGAAATTTTTCCTTTCTAGGCTTATTTAATAATAAAAGGAATTATTAGTTTAATTCCTGGACATCACTTCACCAATTTTTTTTACGATTTTTACCGTTATGATAATAAGTAACAAGTGTCGCAGCTGATACTGAAAATGGCTGATGCTGAAATTCGGACCTATTTTGATATGAAAATTTTCCGTTTTTTTTTTTTGAGTTAGGTAGAATTTAGGACTAGAATTGATAATTAAAGAGTATATGTGAATTTTAGCAGGGTTTATATTTTCAGATCGAGACTCCAAATTTCAGCATCAGCTGCGACAATTATTAATAATGCGGAAGGTCCCATCATTAAGAAAAGTATTATTACATTATAATTTCAATTGGACTTGGATTTTAAACGCAATAGTGTATATTAGGAATTTTAAACCCATTGAAATATTTTAGTTCTTACTTAATCAACTGAATCTGTATACAGTAAGAGATAAGGTAAATGTCAATGTGCTTATATATGTTTTCGATTTAGTTGGATACTATCAATTTAAAATCCTGTGAGTCCCATGATAATAACATAGTTAATCATCTAAATTCATTATAAAGTCAGTTCTCTCTAAATGTAAGTCATCGGGACCAGACTTTTGACAACTTGCATTTAGAGAATAATTAAGACAAATCGCATTTATAAAGACCCAACATATACGAGAACAATCGCATTTATAAAGACCAAACATATACTTGGGTCAAAATTTAAAATTGCATTTAGAAAGAATTGACTGTATTGTTTCTATTAATGATCCTGGGCTTATTATATAATTTATAATTTTTGAACCAAAATTTTAATTTACGTCTATTATTAAAGTGTTTATACCTATCTAAAAATTAAAGAGTTAACAATAAAAGTTTATTCAATATAGCGAATAAATCAGTCTTATACAAAGCATTCCTAGTCACCTTTAATCTACTACACAATTCTGCGTCATTAAATGACAACAGCATATTTAGCTTCTAAGTATGTCAGGTTAAAGATTCTTTTGCACAATGAACGCCAGTACCCTTCTAAAGCCGTGAACGTGTTTGCAGTAATTTTTATTACAAAATGTCAAGTCACAAAAAGTACTTTAAAACATACGATAATACAGTACTGTAATACGTACGTACGTATGATTATAATCGTTATGGCGATCTATCCATTTTATCTAAAAGGAAATGTGGAGGGTCACAAGAAACCAAACCATAACAAAAAAGAAGGATCAGGGAAAAATTTTATAGGGTTAACAAGAATGTAGATCATTGTGTCATGAAATCATTGGATTACTACATCCATTTAGAATCGAGGTTTTGTGAAGTGTGTAGTTCAATTCGAATTTGCGTTTGTCCGCTTCACTACATTCCTGTATATTTCCTTTTTGAGTTTCAACGCCCATCTATAAATATCCAAAATGGTTTTTTTTGCGTAAAATAATGCAAATATTTTTCGTTTATTTTATAACTATATTTTCCCTCTTAAATTCTTTAGGTCTAGTTTAACAATAAAAGATATTCAACATTCTTTATGAATTTCGGAAACGATGATAGTCATGAAATTAGATCTCAAAAGCGTGAGTGACAACGAAAATGATTATTATTTGATATTATAATTTGATCGTTTTTGGACTATTACGAGCACAAGATATAAAATTTAAAAGAATCATTATTATAAGTTATCGTGTGGTCGGTAAAAAAATATCGGTACGGTAGTACGGGTGTGGATTAGTGGATGAATCAAACATTTTAACATGTTTTGGGTCGATATTTTAGATTTTTACGTAATTCATTCACTGATCTAGTGGCACGTCTGAAATGTGTGCCAGGTTTGTGGCGCAGCAAAAACCTTTAATGTTAGGTTTAGCGTGGTTAGCGTTTATGATAAGGTTAGAGGTTATGTAATTATATAGTAAAATCGCTCAAGAAAAACTTTTTGTTAGAGCAATAAAGCTGGTTTCTTATACAGATTTTCGAGAAACAAGCGATTTTTGACAAAACGATCGTTTGCTTTGAATTTTCCTGATCGTGTTACGTTACACCTGATCTTGAAATCTGTTTCCACTTAAAACATATATAGTTTATTGAAATTTAAATAAACTATATAACTGCTATATTTAATAAAAATAAAAAAACTTCAATAACTTTAAATAATTAACAGGAGAAATCCTATGTTGAAGAAATTAGTCAAAGTATTATTACAGCAAAAAGCAAACCTTGATCCAGAATTGGTGTATGAGGTGCTATTCTTAAAAAGAAACATGAATTTGCTAAATACATTATTTCAAGTTGACAAATAATTAATATGCTACTTGTTTTCATAACTTATTATATGTGATAATAACATGTAATTTGAATTATATTTGCTTTGCATAACTCTTTATCCGAAGTATATTTGCTTTTGTAACTCACAATTTACAAAACTTTTAATAAATTAATTGCTGTGACTCGAATAACTCGAATAAAACTCGAAAAATATTATTATTCGAATGATTCGAGCACTCTTCGGAATTTAATTCGCGAGTTACGAG